GGGATTATAGGTGTGAGACATTGTGCCCAATCACAAATCATCTTTTAAGAAACTTTTCCCATAGTTGTTCACAGCTGTTATACTCCCTTGCTTTTCTTTTTAGTCTTATCTGCATGTTGTTTCTTCTTTGCTTATCTTCAATATTTGTCATTTTCTCTCAATTCTTTGTCTTTCTGTATTTCTTACTGGTCTTCAAATATTTTCCTCCTTTCAACCTCTATTAAAAGGCCTTTTGGTTTATTTAACTTTGTGTCCCTCCTAGTTTTCTTTTCTGAAGTGCTTTTTTTTTTCCTTTTAATTCTTTCTTGAGATCTATCATTACAGTTTTTTGTTTGTTTGTTTGTTTGTTTGTTTGTTTTGAGAGGGAGTTTTGCTCTTGTCGCCTAGGCTGTAGTGCAATGGTGCATCTTGGCTCACTGCAACCTCCACCTCCCAGATTCAAGTGATTCTACTGCCTCAGCATCCTGAGTAGCTGGGATTACAGGTGCGCAACACCACACCCAGAAATTTTTTTTATTTTTAGTAGAGATGGGGTTTCATCATGTTGGCCAGCCTAGTCTTGAACTCCTGACCTCAGGTGATCTGCCTGCCTCAGCCTCCCAAAGTCATGGGATTACAGGCATGAGTCATTTCTAAATTTTTCTAATCTTATATTGTTCTTTCACATGTGATACTGTTTCTTTCAATGACTTCGACTCATTTATTCATTTGAAATTTCAAGAAAAAATTTATTAGAGATCTGAAAAACAATTCCTAAAAGACTGACTTTTCCAGAAAACTAGCTACACAATGTATTGCATCTGTCATGTCAAAATGTGCACTAGACACAAATATAAAAACCATGCAACAAGCCACCATTCTTCAACAAATCGAACAAAGATAAAATACCTAAGGAACAACATGGATGACTTGCAAAGAACAGGTTATTCAAGCACTATTAAAAAAAAGGAGCACAAATGGATGAGTGTGTTCAGTTATACATTGAACTGAACCTTTGACAACAGGAATCACAGCATTTTGTCATATAGCATGAACACATATTATAAAAGTACATAGGGGTCAAAGGAATAGAACCAGCGGCATTCAAAAGCAGCTCTGTCAACTAGGCAATAAAATACCCTACAGCATGTGCCTCTGTTTTCCACTGTTGAATACACTGGCAGCAATTTTGAAATGAAAAAAAAAAAAAGGTAAGACAAGAAAAAAGGAGCTATTACTCCTTTTATTTTCTGTTTAAAATCAAACAGAAAAGAAACATTATTTTTCATACAGTAACATCTTCGAAGTACATCATTTGTACAAGAGAAAGACTAAGAACAAATATGTGTTTACAGAGATCCAAACGTGAGTGAGTGAGAGCGCCATTCACACAGCTTTCTGATGGTACTCAGGAGGAGCCATTCATAATCACTCGGCACTAAAAAAGGCTGCAGAGTTTTTTGCCAGGTACTTTAGGAAACTGAAGGTATACAGTGACAAAACAAGGCTTGGCCAGGGGTGGTGGCTCATGCCTGTAATCCCAGCACTTTGGAAGGCCATGGTGGGTGCAACATGAGGTCAGGAGTTCAGCCTAACCAACATGGTGAAACCCCGACTCTACTAAAAACACAAAAATCAGCCGGGTGTGGTAGCATGTGCCTGCAATCCCAGCTACTCAGGAGGCTGAGGCAGGAGAATCGCTTGAACCTGGGAGGCAGAGGTTGCGGTGAGCCAAGATTGCACCACTGTACTCCAGCATTGGTGACAGAGTGAGACTCCATCTCAAAAAACAAAAACAAAAACAAAAAAAGGCTATTCTCATCCAGAGGTGTATAGGCCAACATTCCTCCAATTCATACACCAGTAGATGTGGCACTCCATACACCTGGGACATGGTTGCATCAGGGTGATCTGCAAGAATTTCGGCATACTGTGGTCCATCAAATTTGTAAAGTAGCTGGGTGCCCAACATTATGCTGAAGTATTCTTCTATCCCTGCCACAATTTCATTAACAGCATACTCGTTAACTGTGTTTCCAGGAATTTTCTTGTAATTTGCATAATCGTGGAAAATAGAATCCACATTCTTCTTGGCAGAAAGATAAAAGAGCTCTTTTCATCTGGTAATTTTCAGCTCTTCTGGAATCTTTACTTTAGCTTCAACTCCGTTCATGAATGTGTCCTCATTTTCAAGAGTAGGATCTACTCAGGCCTTTTTCTTCCACGAAGACTCTCACTGTTACTGCCACCATCTCCATTTCCAGGTATTTTCTGTTTGTTGTTTTTTGCTTTCACTTCAACAATTTTTCTGTTGCAGACCAGATGTCTTCTTTCTTGGGGCAGCCCTCTCATCTTCCCCTCTGCATACAACTCCTGATTGGTTTTTTGAAGTTCTCGCTGTTTCTGCAAATTGGCGTCCATATATTTGAGTACTCTGCTCTCTAGATCCCATGAATCCCAATTTTTATTCCAACCACTGTAATATATAAAGTATTTCACTTGTTTGTCCTTTATGGCAACCTTTACACATTTTGCTTCATAAAGAAGAGGCTCATGAAAGCACAGCACTTGTTCACCCTCTCGGAATTTAGTCTTTGGGTCCTGCTTCCACGTCATTCCTAAGTGATTTGCAGCCTCCTCCTTCTCCAGTTCATTTTATAATAGAGGACTGATCTGTTCTGTGGTCATGTTTTTCTGGGGTGCTTTTGTTTATATGGACATTATTTTGCTCCTCCTCCTTCTTTCCTTTATAATAACTTTAAATGGGATTTCACCTTGACACTTTTCTGTTTCTCTTGTCTATGTAAAATTAGTGTTCCTGAACTTTTAAAATAGAGTTCAAGGTAGTTTTTCTAATGTCACAGAATTCATGCCTCCTGTTGTTTTCACATAATGTTCAAAAACCTGGTAAGCTTGCTTTCTGATATCTACTAGCCATTGACCTTCCCATCCTTATCTGAACCTTCTTTCCTTCCCCTCCTGTTCTCTATTCTACTGCTCCTATCCTGCTCCACTTTGATTATTCTGACCCATTCAATCTTGTTTTAATCAGTGTGGTGCTTTGTCCTGAATGAGCGTTCTGGCAGGTTCATTTCAGTAGTTCCGATTTGAGAGTTCATTGGGGCTAGACTGCTCTAGCGTCTTCTGTCTTTACCATAGTCACACTGCACTTGCCTAATATTGGAGTGGGCAACCCTCCCACCCTTCCATTTCAGCTGCTGTTCTTAAAATAACCCACCACCTTGTCCAGCACATAGTTGTGGCTATTTTGGCGTTCCTCTGCATTCAAATCTTAGGAGACTGCCCTATTAAGTCTCTCTGCTTACTCTCGCATAGACGGTGATAACATAGGTCTTGTGGCTGTTGGTGGTTTGCCCTTACTGAGTTGTACTTTCAAATGCCTAAGGCTATAGTCAATTTTATCCATGTTTTTGGATTTGCTACCTAGTTTTAGTTAAAAACAAATATGAAAACAAAAACGAGAAAACTATGACATGGCCACATCCATCTTCCTAGAGTCCCCTCACAGGCAGATTTGAGGTCAAAAACAACACTTGTTTTTATATTCAGCATATACTTATATTTTGACACTTAAATTTATTTTAAGCCATATTGTTGTATGTCATTTCACTATTTTTTGAAAGAAGGCAAAAAATATTCCATGATTACAAAAAAGTTTACTGAACTCTTTAAACTTTTCCTGGTTTTCAATACTTCTAAATGCTCCTTATTTCTGGTTCAGAGAATTGACAAATGTTTACACTTTGAAAAAATCTTTCAGTGACCCAAAACTCTAATCTAGTGGGGTCTCAGATTGAGACCAAAAACCAAAATTGTCATAAAATACAAGAATGCAAATATAAAATGTCTTTAAAAATCTGAACATAATCTGAGAAGAAATTCCATGTTTATGTATTATAGACTTTGTCTTCCTTGAACACTGAAATGTATGGTACTTGCAGTACGTTTTCTCCTTGTCCAGGGATGAGCAAACTGTGGCCCACAGACTGACTGTGCTTTACAAATAAACTTTTAGACCCTAGTGCCTGTAATTTTAGCACTTTGGGAGGCCGAGGCCATTGAATCACTTGGAGCTCAGGAGATCAAGACCTGCCTGGGCAACAAGGTAAGAGCCCCATCTTTACAAAAAAAAATATAAAAATTAGCCAGGCATGATGGCATGCACCTATAGTCCCAAGCTACTTGGGAGGATGAGGCAGGAAGATCGCCTGAGCCCAGGAGACAGGTTGCAGTGAACTGAGATCACACTACTGTATTCCAGCCTGGGTGACAGAGTGAGACTCTGTCTAAAATAAAATAAATACATAATAAATAAAGTTTTGCTGGAACACAGCCATGCCTATTCCCTTATGCAATACTATAGCTGCTTTGAAACGACACTAGCAGAAGTAGTTGAACCAGAGATCATAAGCCTAAAATATTTACTATCTCAGCCTTTACAGAAAATGTTGGCCAAACCCTGTCCTAATTCAGAGATTTATCAAACAAATTCCATTAGCAGGACTTGGGGGCATTACTGGTAATTTTGAGTGAAACAACTCTTTGCTGTACTGATGGCCAGCACACTGCAGGATGGCAACCTTGGACGTCCCCTCACCGCCGGAACTAAAATACTAGTAGCGCTCCCAGTCCTTGGGTTAGACAAAATTCTCCACACGTTTCCAAACAGGAGTAAAGATGCTATCCCTGGTAGAGAACCACTGAAGAACTAAGTTAGCTCAGAGTAAGAAAAGAGGAAACACAGTCTGTAAATTCTAAATGCCATTAAGATGGATGATAAACACAGTCTGTAAATTCTAAATGCCATTAAGATGGATGATAAATGTAATTACTTTTAAAGCACTTTTAAAGAGCTAACTAAAAGACTATTCTTCCCCTTTGGGACTTAGTAAAAAATAAACATATTTCTTAATAAAATTAGGTTTTGTACTTTTACTATTATCAAGGCTTCATGGAGTTTTCTTAAAAAATTTTTTAAAAATCTTATAAAGCAATCTTACCGATTTGTTCCATCCAGATTTGATTTGTGAATGAAATTAAGTTTTGCATCTGCCCAATAAAGCTTTCGTTCTTCATAATCCACAGTCAGTCCATTTGGCCAGTAAATTTCACTGTTTACTATAATGAAGCGACTTGAACCATCCATTCCAGCACGTTCTATCTTTGGCACTTCTCCCCAGTCTGTCCAGTACATGAACCTAAACATCATAAAAATAATTAAAGCCATGACAGAGCAGATAACAATCAAATACTCTGTAATTATTACTATTAAAGAAAGCTCATTTCAGGGACACCAAAACTAAAACCCTTAGAAATTGTATTTTGAAATTTTAGTATCTACCATTTGTAACTACCCTGGTAATATCTGATTCAGACAAGTGTCATCAAGGATACAAAACTACTGAATCGAAATGTATTGGTAAAAAGGATACTTACACCATTTCAATGTATCTCCCCACAGATTACTTTTTTTTTTTTAAATTTTATTACATTTTAGGTTTTGGGGTACATGTGAAGAACATGCAAGATTGTTGCATAGGTACACACATGGCAGTGTGATTTGCTGCCTTCCTCCCCTTCACCTACATCTGGCATTTCTCCCCATGCTCTCTCTCCCCAACTCCCCACCCCCCGCTATCCCTCCCCTATTTCCCCCCAACAGACCCCAGTGTGTGATGCTCCCCTCCCTGTGTCCATGTGTTCTCATTGTTCAACGCTCGCCTATGAGTGAGAACATGTGGTGTTTGATTTTCTGCTCTTGTGTCAGTTTGCCGAGGATGATGGCTTCCAGGTTCATCCATGTCCCTACAAAGGACACAAACTCATCATTTTTAATGGCTGCATAATATTCCATGGTGTATATGTGCCACATTTTCCCTGTCCAGTCTATCATCGATGGGCATTTGGGTTGATTCCAGGTCTTTGCTATTGTAAACAGTGCCACAATGAACATCTGTGTGCATGTGTCCTTATAGTAGAACAATTTATATTCCTTTAAATATATACCCAGTAATGGGATTGCTGGGTCAAATGGAATTTCTATTTCTAAATCCTTGAGGAATCGTCACACTGTCTTCCACAATGGTTGAACTAATTTACACTCCCACCAACAGTGTAAAAGTGTTCCTATTTTTCCACATCCTCTCCAGCATTTGCTGTCTCCAGATTTTTTAATGATCGCCATTCTAACTGGCATGAGATGGTATCTCAATGTAGTTTTTGATTTGCATGTCTCTGATGACCAGTGATGATGAGCATTTTTTCATATGTTTGTTGGCCTCATGCATGTCTTCTTTTGTAAAGTATCCCACAGATTACTTATAAACAACAAAGAAGAACGTGATAACTTTAGAAAACAAAGCCAGTGGATACCACCTTAACTGAGTCATCTAAATTAATATCACCAATAGGGGAACAAACTCGCATTATATACCTCTTCATAAGATATACCTTTATAGAACATAGTGTCTTTTATATGATCTTACTTTTGCTTCTATTTTACAAGTTTGAAGATTTTTCAAAATCAAAAATGAAAAGTCTAATAGTCTCGTTACAGAAAAAGAAATTTTTCCTTGTTGTAAAGAAAAACTTTGTTGGGCTGGGCGCGGTGGTTCAGGCCTGTAATCCCAGCACTTTGGGGGGCCAAGACACCTATAATCTCAGCATTTTGGGAGGCCGAGGCAGGCAGATTACCTGAGGTCAGGAGTTCAAGACCAGCCTGACCAACATGACAAAACCCCATCTCTACTAAAAATAAAAAATAAAAAATAATTAGTTGGGTGTGGTGGTGGGCACCTGTATCCCAGCTACTCAAGAGGATGAAGCAGGAGAATCCTTTGAACCTGGGACGCAGTGGTTGGAGTAAGCCAAGATGGTATCATTGCACTCCAGCCTGGGCAACAAGAGCAAAACTCCATCCCAAAAAAGAAAAAGTCTTAATGTATTATACTTCACTTAAGAGCATATTTTCAAAAGCTAATGATGGGCCAGGAGCAATGGCTCACATCTGTAATCCTAGCACTTTGGAAGGCCAAGGCTGGTGGATCACTTCATGTCAGGAGTTCAAGACCAGCCTGGCCAACATAGTGAAACCCCGTATCTACTAAAAATACAAAAATTAGCCAGGCATGGTGTGGCAGGAGCCTGTAATCCCAGCTACTCAGGAGCCTGAGGCAGGAGAATTGCTTGAATCCAGGAGATGAAGGTTACAGTGAGCTGAGATTGTATCACTGCACTCCATCCAGCCTGGGCAACAGAGCACGACTGCCTCAAAAAAAAGGGGGTGGGTAATGAGATCAGGCACTCAATAATTATGTGTTGAACCCAACTGAAATTCAGATATAACTTTTACTCAAGTAATTGGTGAAACAGTAATACTGAAATGAATCTACTTATGCATATTGATATCGCCACTATTTCATTAGAACTGCTTACTCAAAGAAATGATGAGAGGAGAGTATCATGTAGGGGAATAAATAATTCTTCTAGATACAAGGTGCTGTGCTAATAGCTTTACATACATTATCTTACTTAAGCCTTGAGCAACCTTATAAAATATCATTTGTTCATTACCACATTTTGATGAGAAAACTGAAATGTAAGCACATCACTCAAAGTCACACTGCTAACAAATGAAGAACAGAAAGTCAAACCTACATCTCTTAAATTCTAAAGTCAATGCTTATGTCATAGGTCAGAGTCTTGATTTTTCTTAAGGAATAGAAAGCAAAATGCTCCCTAAATTGGGGACAATGGTTGGATCCAGAATGAGGGATATGGACTAGATTAATAGGATAAAACTGTAGCCATAAGCTGTGTAACAATGTGGTCAACAATAAACCATATAAAAAATGGTGGTCTTATAAAACTACCATACTGTATTGTGACTACACATTTTCTATGTTTAGATACACGAATTCCATTGTGTTACAATTGCCACCACATTCAGTATAGCAGCATGCTGTACAGGTTCACAGACTAGGAGCAATAACCTATCTGACATAGTCTAGGTGTATAGTAGGCTGTACCATCTAGGTTTGTGTAACACTCTATGTTCACACAATGATGAAATCACTCAGCATTTTTCATGATGTGTCCCTATTGTTAAGCGACAAACGACTGTATCTAGAAAGGCAGACCAGACCATATTTTCATTTTTATTCTGAGAACAACATAAAGGCACTTCAAGACTTTCAAAATTGGAGGTGATGAGCAGGTATGGTGACTCATGCCTGTAATCCTAGCACATTGGGAGGCTGAGGCAGGACTGCCTTAGTCCAGGAGTTCAAGAACAGCCTGGGCAACACACCAAGATACTGTATCTATTTTTTAAAATAAAAAATAATAATAATAAAATAAAATTGGAAGTGAAATGACTGACTTTGTATTTTCAGGAGGGAGGAAAACATGGCTGCAGTGAGGGAAAAAACTAGAGGAAAACTTAAAAGAATCCTAAGAGTCCAGGTCTTCCAATTAGGTTCTGTGAGTTCAGCAAATTCTTTCCTGTAAAAGCAATGAAAAAAGGACAAGACTGTCAAAACTAACCACCAAAGCCTCCAAAAACTGATCAAAGGACATATAACAAAGTGAGAAGCATTTATTGAAGAAAAGTCTACTGAATATCAATAAGAACTATGGTATTTCAGCTAGGGGCTATTCCTATTTCCATCAATACTGCCAGGTTTATGGCATAAATGTTCTACTGTAGGCAAACATGGCAGCCCATAAGGAGTGGTAGCTATCTTTTCCTGCAAGAGGTGACTGACCTTATTTGGAACAAAGCATAGAACAATCTACATCCAGGAACGTTGTTGAATACAAGAGTGTTTTCAGTGGCAGCCATCAGGAAGATCATTATCTAAGTGACATTGATGGGAGCAAGCAACCAAATGGCAAACTAGCCAGAAATCTTAACAGGAAGATCCTAGGAAAGAGACTGCCAAGAAGAGCCTTAAGTGGATATTCATCCTCTGTAGTCAGGAAGGCTGTGTGCCTGTGCAAGGCTACATCATAAAGAACATTTGCAAGCTAGTCTCTGGCTGAATATGGGTCAAATTTGAAACTGCCTAAAATTTTAAGACATTCTCCAAACCATAAACAGATGCACAGAAAAATGGAGGAACACTAATTTGCTGGTATTTAGAACAACCTTTAAGCAGCCATTAGCTGACCACTATGATAGCAGTGACACAGAGGCAATTCCTCAAAAGCCAGGCATAATAAATATTTTAAAAGGAAAACAGACAACAGAAGTAATCCAGGAAAGTCATTAAACAAACACACACAACAACGGCAACAAGCCCAGGGAAGGGTCAGAATCCAGAATCCATATTCACTATAATATATCCATACAATGGAACACTATTCAGCAATATAGAAGAACTACTTATCAATGGCAAGGATGACTTTTTAAAATTATGTTGAACAAAAGAAGCCACACATAAAAGAGTACCTACTACATGATCCCATTATATGAAGCTGTAGATGTAAAATTAAAAAAAACTAATCTATAGTAATAAAAATCAGATTCGCAGTTACTGGGGAAGAGTAAGGGATTGACTGTAAAGGGGCTAAAGCAACCTTCTGGAGTGGAGTGACGTTTGTCTTAGGAATGTTTATCAAAACCCATTAAACAGTCAACAAAAAAATGTGAATTTTTTGCATGTAAATTCGAACTCACTAAAGTTCCTTAAAACATGAATAAGAAACAAAGACTATTTTAAAATGTCAATTCAAAGGTAACTTTTCTTGGAAACCTTTCCCAGCTTATTCAGGCAAAGTTATTCCCTCCTATGAGCTCTTGGCATGTTTTGTTATACTACAGTACTTATCAGAGTTTGTAGATAAATTACAAAGAACTCAAATGTAAAGACTAGGTGTTACTACCACATCACAATTACTGACAAATTGCACGTACTTTTTTTAAATCAAGATGAATAGAGACCTTGTGTTTTCCATTTTCAATTTCTCCTCTCTCTCACCCCCAACTCAATGCACACTGAAATGGGTAAAGGAAGACACAGGAAATGCTCCAAGAAGAGAAAGTACAAAAAGTTAATAACCTAAGCATAGGGAGAGCCGAAAACAGTAAATTGTTTTGTGTGCATGTCTACTATAACATATGAACTAGATTTCTCCTCAGGATATCTTTAATACACAAATGAAATGAGATTTCCATCTTGATGGAGTAATACAGTTA